ATTGAAGAGCCAAGAATTGCAAAGTACTAATTGTGCATCAGGTACTGTGTCTAGGATCTTCTGCATGCTTTGCTTTGTGCATTTAGTCATTTATTAAATAACTGAGCCCCTAATGTGTGCCATGCACTGCGCTAAGCATGGGGTACAAAAAGCCAAAGATTTGACTTGCTAGAGACCAACCATAATCTGCACAAAAACTCTGTAAGGATTATTATTAACCTCACTTTACAGAAGAGGAAAGAGAAGCTCAGAACAATGATGGCACTTTTCTAAGGTCACACAGGTAGAACATTGTAGACTCCACAGCTGCCTCCTATTAACCCAAAATTCTAGAAAAAATTCTGTAAACAGACAGACACAAAGCACAAGAAGGTGATACCCCTAGGTGCCAGCACAAAGGAATAGTTATGGCAAATTAAACCCATCATTTTCTCAGATAGGTTTTCTGGTCTGACAGATTTAGGCAAAGCTGTAGATATCCCGTGTCTCTCAAATTCAGCATTGTGTTTAATGAGTTTCCATCACTAGTTTGAACGAAATGGAAATACATGACCAGGATGAGAGCACAGTTAGGTGAACCATTGTAAGGGGACCAGGGAGATTGCAGTATGTTATCAATGGATAAAAAAATCAGAGGGTGGTGACATGCCACCGTGTTTGGTCCTTGGCCTGGTCCAGCTCACACATTTGTTTACTCACTCACACACACAAGCATTTATTGAATGGCAATGATACGTAAAATGCCCTATGTCAGGTATAGAAAATTTAGAGTGGACACCAAAGGTACTATACAGATTTCTCTTCAAAACAGCTTCTTTTACCAGCTGCTAGGAGGGCTATTGGTGCAACACTCTAGGATCTGCCTCAGCTGGAGAGGGCCACCTCGACTAAGGTCAGTCCCCTTCTTAGCTTGCCCATATCAGAGTACTGACTGATGTGGCAGTATGAAGGTTATTCATCTCAGTCAAACTCAGGACAGCTCTGTAAGGTTATTCTAGCTCTAGAGGCCCCTGTATGGTCAGCTCCGTCTGTTGCTGGACATGCAACACCGCTTAATTTCTCCTTCTGCCCACCCTACCCCACAGGAGTTGAGCCCAAGCTCATTCCTTAACAAATATCCTGTACAGTAAACTTGGAGGTGGAAAGGGAGATGTTTTGTCCTTTGTTAATCTTCTAAAAACACAGCTACAATCAAGGACAAAAGTTACACAGAGATAGCATTTGGGTTTAATAATGTCTTTCAACAATGAAACAGCCTGCCTCAAAAAGCACTGTACTTTGCAAGATAGAGGAAGCATTATTCTGATTGGAAGGGTCAGTATCAACCAAACAAGTTGGCATTTTAATGAAATTTGTTTCTGTTCATCTGCTGTTGGCTAGCATGCAGCATAGCATCACTCATATTTAGAATTTAGTGATTAGAAATTTTTAAAAAGGAAACATCCTCGGTTCAACAGGTTCTATGAATAATTTGCAGGTAAATGGGGAAAAAATCCATTTCCTAATGAACTTTTAGAAGTAATCTGAGATTACTTAACTTAAGACACAGTAGCAGAAACTGTCAATGCCCACCCCAATTCATTTGCTCCTTTGTCTTTTTATAACAGAACCCTGAATTTTAGCTGGTTACATGTCTATCCAGGCAAAGACTACATTTCCCAAACTCCCTTTCAGCTAATGTGAACATGTGATTAAATTATGGCTTTGGTAGTGATGTTTGCAAACTCCCGGTAAAATCTTTAAAGGAAACCACTGCCTTTTATTTTCTCTTTCCTCCGTCCCAAGGCTGGAACATGGAGGTGATTGATGGTGGTAAGGCAGGCATAGCCTCAGAAAGGTGGAGCAATCATACAGAAAGTTTCTGGGTTCTTGAATAATGCCTGGAGTAGGGCTCTATTACCCATCTGAAGTGCCTACCAGTTTTGACTTTTACATGGGAGAAAAGTAAACCACTTATTTTGTATAAGCCATTTCTATTTTGATCTCTGTTAAAACAGCTTTACCAATATCCTAATTTGTGCAGATACCAACTCAACAAAAGCCTGAGTGCTATTCATTCTTTGCCCAATCAGCACAGTATCTTATCAGGAGACCACAACATGAAAGGAATAGAAATTAACATCCTTTCCTGTGAGTTAACCCTTGCATTATCCCCTCTTCTTTTTTAGCGCTCTGCCTTGTCCCGGCCCACATTATACTTTATTTCTGTATTAAAATCAAGGGCCAAGGCAAGATCTGGACTGAAATTACATTTATTTGTCTATACAATGGGATTTTTGCCAACAATTAAAACCCTGATTTTCTTTGCTGTTGATGCTTTGTTTTGGGGAGGAGTAATTTTCAGATAGGTTTATATTATATATACACATAGTTATATATGATGCAATCATCCATCCATCCATCCATCCATTCATTTATTGAATAATTTGACCATGTAGTGTGTACAGGGAACTATTCAAATAAAATAAGAACCAATTCATGATAAGAGATATCAAATGGGTTACAATTCATTGATACATATTCACAGATGGATGAACAGAACAAGTGAAACACAACTTAATCTTAAAATTCCTTAAAAGAAATAGAAATTAGAAATCCAACATAAGCCATTGTTATGAATGGCTTACCATTTGGAATTTCCTCTATTTCTATTAGTGTAATGATTGATGCTATTGTAACATAAGAACTGTAGCCTATGTGAAATATATTGATATATCATTAACTAGCATAGGCTCTATTTCTCTTTTTGCACCTGAATTCAGTGTAGACATATGAATGTCTGATTGTCTGGCTGGAAACATCTAAAGTTGCACAAAGGATTTACCATTTTTATCATGGCACCAACTGGATTTCAGAAGGTTTTTTCTACTTATCTGGTTCCGGAGATAACATACTGCATATATCATTTGTGAACTATAGGTACACATGGGTTACCTAGAAGAGGGTAAGGATTCTAAAACCAAGAATATGTTTTCAGTTATAATCTCTCTTTTTACTTAGGTATATCCAGAAACACACATACCTTTCCCTAAAGTAGCAATAACAGCTCACTCCCCTATACTAAACATCAAAAATCACAAATGTTTGGGAATCATACTAAGGGCAGAGCCAGGTTCTCATATTAGAGGAAGCAAGCTGGGGGTGCAGGGGTCGTGGTGGTAGGCAGATCCAAGAGTCCACTGGTTTGTGGCGGTGTTGGTATGCAGAAACAGCCTAACTCCATATTACTTTCCCTGGGTGTCCCCATCTACTCTTCATACTGCTTTCCCAAAAATCTTTTCATCAGTCTTAACCACATCATGTCAAGACATTACCTTAAAAATAGGTGTTGAGAAGAGCTCAGAGTAAACCACCACTCTTCTGGCTGCACAGCCAGCAACATATCTGGTTGGAGGAATATCTCCCAGATGACTTGGGCTTATATATTCTTTTTGATAGAGGGGACCTTCTTCTTTCCTAGATGCCCCTCTGCTTTCAGCAAATACATACTGCCTGTCTGCAACTGTTTTAGTAAGGTTCCTTCACGTAAATGTGTTCATTTAATCCCATGATCTGATCTTCTGATGCTTACCCCCAGATAGCTTCCAAATGCCCACTAACTGTATTAGACCCTACAGAAAAGTGAATATAAATGGGTTTCAGGCATTTAGATAAATTTCTACGATCAATTAAAAAAAAATTCAGTAAGTGAAAAATGATTTGAAAGATGTCAACTGAAAAGTGAAAGTGTATGCATTTAAAATGCTCCTCTTACTAGAAATCACTGGTATTACAGACCAACCTATGAGTTTAAAATCTGTACTTTCCATTGCAGAATGGAAAGAAAACTAAGATATTTCATGCCTCTTTTTTTCAGGGAGACACCTTGAAATACCAAATGAGTATATGATTAAAAATTACCTGAAATATCATTTCCGGTGGTTGATTACTAATAGCAATTATTGTATTCATCACTAACAGTAGTGATAAAGGCCATTATAAGCCCTAAGTTCTAAAGAAGGCATCGTTATAGATTTTATTCATCCCAGACAGGCAAATATTTATTCTGAAAGGATAGATGATTACAACTTCTCTAGAAAGTTTAGCAGACATATTTTTAAAATCATCTCAGAAATGGTCCAGCATTTATTAACTACCTCTTTCAGGGAGGATGCTGTAGGAAGATCACATCTTTCTGAAGAAGATGCCAAGAACATATTAGCTGCTCCTTTGAGAACCTTCATCTACTCTTCACAGCTACTTTTAGAAAACAGTTGTAGCATTTATCAAACACCACTGAGAAAATAGTGTACATGTTGGAACTCAGAATTCAGCAGCTGCAGAAGTTAGCAGAGGGGAACTGGGGGATTGGAGAACAAATTGTAGAAATACACCAATTTGAATAATATAAGTAAGGCCCACCTATATTTTAGGTGCCTAAAAGATGAGAGTATTTAAAACAATTCGATAATAATATATAATAAAGATTATGAGTCGTAATATCTTTTTAGACTATGATCTATGATATTAGGTTAATTTTTTGGGGGGGAGCACAGCAATGAAAAAGTTGGGTTTTTTTGCCTTTTTTTCTTTTAAGAAAAACAATTTCCTTGGCTTTCCTCCCATGAATTTCTAGGTGTTATATCATAGAAAAAAAACACTAGGATATGTTTTTAAAAATCACCGTTAGTAAATATGTAAACTTCATATTGTTTTTAATTGCCTCAGAAGTAACTCTGGATAATCTTTTTGTTGTTTTGTTTCTTTTTCACATGCGTGCAGGAGAGTAAGTCAAAAAGAAATGGGGTGCCATGCATTTCTACCATTTTAAAAAGCACAAGAACTGCAATACAAAATCAGCATAACTTTCTAAAACAGAATGAGCCATTTAAGGTTTACAAAGTTCATAAAAGGGTAACCAGATGCAGCCTCTAGCTTAGAGTTTCTGATGTACTTAACACGTCTGGGCGGAACACAGCTGTCTGTCCAGACTCACCAAAGCTCGACATAAAACCACTCACCACTGGTGATGGGGAAAGTGCAATGTTGCCTATGGACGCCTTCAGCTCATCTACAGTTGCAGTATTCTTAAGAATGTCTTTAGATTGCAATGGCTTAATCTTGATATTAAATTTCTTGTGGGATTCTTCTTCCTCTTCCGATTCGCTCGAAGAATAAAAGTGCTTTCCTTTGGTAGGTAGAACACAGTTAAAGATACATAACTCTTTTTCCTACTGGGAAAAGCAATGATGAGTATAAGACAAGAGTGCTTGCACATAAAGACAGCAAAGGTATCCTTAGATGGCAGAAAATCAAAGCAAAATACACAGACGAATAAAAGAGCAAATCAAGAAAGCGTTCAAATTTGTTCACCTTTCCTTGGAACATGATTAAGGATGGTGAATTTCCAGGAGCCATAGTTTAATGTTCTACATTTTTGCTGCAGGTGGCCATTTGTGATGTCCCATTCAGCACAAACACTGACAGCCCATGTGAGCTTCCCTGTCCACTGAGAGAGGAAAACCACTCAGGAACAATTCGTGAGGAATTTCAGTGATTCAGAGATGCTCTGCCCAGAGCTGGTTTGTGGGGAGGGCACAGGTGAGAGTTATTTTCTGGCCACAGTAAGTGACATGGTCGTGTCAGGTTTTAGCAGACAACCCAGTACCCGTGGTTTACACAATTGTTTCTCAGCACATTTTTCTGTTTCTCCACTCTCTCTTTTCTATGAATAGATCAAGACAAAATGCCTACTTGTTAGTGATCAGGCTGTTCTGTGCTGTTTATTCATTTCTAATATTAGGGATGACAGGAGTCGGGAAGCTTGGGTTATTTCAGCACCTTTTCAAAATCTGAACTTATCATAGAGTTTTCTTAGAGAAAATAAAGATTAAAATAAAAAAATAAAGAAAGGATATAGCCGGGTTCCTCAGGTCTGATGCTGTAGCCTTCTTCATCCAGCTCAGGAGAGTTCTACAAAATACAAGCACAGATTAAGCATTTATTATTCTGACAATAATCAAGGAACTGTTCATTTTCCTTCTAGAGACTTCTATTTAAAGATATGGATATGTCTCTTATTTTAGAAGGTGAGGATTTTAACCTTTGGAAGTGAATGCTGAGCAGTATATGTGTAGATATTTACTGAAGGATACTTGGAGAGTCTTCCTATCAGAAAAACAAACTAGGAATCCACTGTCAATGAAAGAAAACATTCAGAGATAATTTCTCACGCTAAGGACTGTGCTAAGCAACATGGGGGAAGACAAAAGGCAAATTATTTTTCCTCTGGAAAATGGAAAGGTATTTTGGTAGGCAAAACACTTTAAAAAGTGAAATATAAAACACAAATCATCAGTGATAGGAGTCTGGAGGAAGAGGAAGTTAATGAAGCTTGAAAGAATCTGAGGGGTCTGCCTGTGCCTCTCAGGACAGGTAGAGAGGGCAGAGGGGAGGCGGCGGTAAGCAAGAGGCTGCTCTGAGACACCGAGGCAGGAATGGACAGCATGGTTCAGATGGGGGAAGGGAGAGGCAACAACGAAAACAACTGGTTGGAAAGGAATCTGCACAGGGGGAGAACATCGGAAATAAGACCACGGATGGCCAACGCGCTGGAGGAAGGATTCAAACTTGATGTAGCTACTGCAGCTTCTCAGTCAGGGTAGAAAGTGGCTTCTGAAGGTGTTTTGGAAGTATGCTTCAGGATAGATTGTGGGCAGAAGAAACTGCAGAAAGGAAATCTCATTCAAAATACTTGTATCAATTCAGCGAAGATGCGCTAAGAATACGAGACCACGTTGGTGGTGGTGGGAAGTGAGGAATCAAGGACTTTTGTAAGGATAAGCTTAGTTCTTTGTAACATCTGTCATAGGAGAAAAAGGAGAGGGAAGGGTCAAGAAGACCCCAAGATTTCTACTCTCAAATCGTGGGACACTGCTGGTATTCCTGACTGAACTAATTGTAACAGCAGACAACTAATGTTTTCAAAGGGAGGAAGGATAAAAGAGAGTTTGCATGATTGGGATTAGTATTATCATCTTTGAGTTCCTATTATATGGTAAGTACTGTGACCCACACTTTATCTTATTGAACCTTCATAACAATCCCACGTGGAAAGAACCATCCCATTCACCAAGGAGGAAAGGAAGAGAAATGAGATGCCATTTCTCAAGGACACACACCCAGCAAATGGTAGACCTGTGTGCCTTGACTCCAGGTATTGGAGGCTACACTCTAAGCCCTAGAAGGGATGAAGGTGAAGCCATTCAAAAGCGCCACTTTTAAAGGTGAGGTTATAGGCCTGGAAGTGAGAAAGGACAGAGCCAGAAGGAGAGATTGTGGAGTCACCGAAGTGATGAAAGTGCCATGACCATGGAGAGAAAGAAGGCCTGAAAGCTATGGAAAAGCCACCATTTCCTAAGCATTCATTGTCTCCCTCTTGTCCTTCTTCAGTACTCAAGGTTACTTTTTCAAAAATGCAAGTGTATTGAGGTCATTTCCCTGCTAAAACCTTGTCCCTGGCTTCTTACTGAAGTTAGAATAAATGCCCAGTGCTTCTGTGTGGTCCACGGCTCTTGTAGGACCTGGCTCAGGTCTGAGAGCCCCTTCCCTGATGCCCCTCAGCTGCACGGTCTTCTTCCCAATGTTAACGTTTATGGTCTGAATATGCAAGCTCTTTCCCATTTCAGGGTCCTCATAAATGCCATTCTCTCTGCCTGGAGTTCTCTTCCCTCAAATGTTCAGCCCGTGAACCCCTCCTATACATAAGGGCTCTGCTTAAAGGTCACATCCTCCCCGGGGCCTTCCCTCTCTCACCTTTCTCTGCCAAAAGCAAGATGACATCATCTCTTAAGAATAAAACCTTTCTTATGACTTAGAGAAAGTGGTGTCTAATGTAGAATTAGAATAATTAGAATAATTCCTATGTGACCTAATTAGTTTTCAGGACTGAACAAATATGAGGGAAGTTATGCTTCATTTAAGGATTCACATGTTGACCAGGGATAGCACTAGAGTGTAGGGTTTAGATGGGGTAATATGTGATTTGATGAGTAATTTGGTATTTCCATTGTCATACTTCTTGTTTGGTTAGAGTATCCCATTTTTGTGTATTAAAGAATCCTACAAAATACAACAAAAGTCTTTCTAGGTAAAGACGGATTAACTCTGGGAAAATAAATCACATTTTCTTAATATTTAGTAGTTTCCCTTATAACATTATTTGTGAACTATTTGAATTTAGGGTAACATGGGAACTGGCATAGATTTTAGGGAGCTGAACTGCTAAAAATATCTAAAAGATCCCAATCCTGGGAAACAGATATGAGAAGATCAGGTGATGAGTTTGGCAGAGTGACACGCTTTAGAGTGGAGGGGTGGGGAAGTATTGAGAATTTAACCTCTCTGAGCTTCAGCTTTCTTTTCTATGAAATGCAAATAATGTATTTGATTTTTAAGGTGGTAAGGATTCTGCAGCATTTAATATTATGACTGACTAATAGTGAATATTCAATTATTTATTGTAAAAATAAAATTATTAATAAGAAATATGCAAAAGCTTTAACATCAAGATTAACTTTTATGATAGGAGAGGTTGGGTCAAGACATTCATCTAATGGATATAAGTGCAAAAGCATTTGTGAATTTGGGCACCTGCTATACAACAGAAGTGATTTTTTTTTTTAAAGATTTTATTTATTTATTTGAGAGAGAGAATGAGATAGAGAGAGAGAGCATGAGAGGGGGGAGGGTCCGAGGGAGAAGCAGACTCCCTGCTGAGCAGGGAGCCCGATGTGGGACTCGATCCCAGGACTCCAGGATCATGACCTGAGCTGAAGGCAGTCGCTTAACCAACTGAGCCACCCAGGCGCCCCAGAAGTGATCTTTGATGTGAATATGATCTACATATTTTATATGATTAAAAATCCAAGAATGATTGTGGTTGTCCTGTTGTGGTTGGTGAAGTGGATGTTGATGATGTAAATCAGTTTCCGAAGGAATCAGGTGGAGAGTTTAGGTCTCAGATGAGAGTCACCCTCACTCCCTGAAAGCAACAAGTGATTGTCACTGGACCTGAGAAAAGCTTGTACCATGAGGCTCTAGTAATTGTTTTGTGCTGTGGTCTGAATGTTTGTGTTCCCCCCAAATTCATACGTTGAAATCTTAACCCCAAAGCGATGGTGTGAGGAAGTGGGGCCTTTTGGAGGTGATTAGGGCATTGGGGAAGGAGCCATCATAGCTGGGGTTAGTGCCCTTACAAAAGAGATCCCCAGTGAAGTTACAGCTAGAAGGTGCCATCTGTGAACCAGAAAGTGGGCCCTCAACCAGACATAGCAGACACCAAATCTGCTGGCACCATGACCATGGACTTCTCAGCCTACACAACTGTTAGAAATAAATTTTTGTTGTTTACAAGCCACTGAGTTATGATATTTTTGTTATAGCAGCCTGAATGGACTAAGACACCATGGAACCAAACCCCAGAGGTTAACTTGACTTGACTTGATTCTCAAAGCTGCTTAGAAAAAGAGCCAGGATGGCAAAATCTGGAGTTAATATTTTAAAAAGCATTTTAAAAAAAAAACACGTATCACAGGCTAAGCAGGTACTGAAATAACCTGCAAATAATTAGCTCATTGAATTCTTTCGACAATGTTCTAAAGTAACTACTGACCTCATTTCTGCTGGTCAGCAAACAACCATCCCAAAGCCATACACAACTGACATATGGAAGGGCTAGGTCTTGAACCCAGTGTAACAGACTCTAGTGCTCTTAACTTCTATACCACCCTAAGCGTGCCAGGCACTGCCTAATGAGACAGAGAATGTTCACTTATTTCTATGTTGTATTATAAGAATGTTTCAACTCATTTTCAAATAGTGAAATAATAAAGAAAAAAATCTTCTGATACTCACGTATCTTTCCCAATCAATTTCCGCATAAAATCCATTTGGTGCCCCATTGCTTTTCTTCTGCAATAAATTTGAAAATAAATTTAGAAGAGAAACATTTGAATTAAAAAAAAAAAGGAACAAAGAACACTTAACTCTTATCTGTATTTAGCAAGAGCTATCAAAATCCAGCACTGGAAAGACGAATTAGAGCAGCCTATTAAGCAACCACATCGGTGTAACTGAATGGTAAATTGAGCTGCCGTGACACTGCATAAAAGAGCTTATGTACTTATTTTCACAAAAGACTGTAGGGTACCTAAGCACAGGGACGGTAACAGCTAGCTGTTCAAATTTTGTTCAGTAAAATCAGAAGTACCTACATTGTAATTTAAACTTTTATACCTTCAGGGGATATAATCAGATATATCTATCTATCTATCTATCTATATCTAAGATTTTGACTTCCATGTTGCTCTCATATACAATTAGTTCCAACATGTCTAAAGAGTATTCAAGTCATTAACTAATCTTCCTTTAGCTTTTCTAACACTGACTCAACTTTTCCCTAACCACCCCCTTGCTAGAATGTAAAGGAAATGAACTCCAAATTAATTCAGCTTCTAGGTATTAAAAATAGTGTTGATCTTCTTTTCAAGTGGCTTTTCTTATCAAGTTATTAAAATAGGATTCAAGGATTGATTGTGGATTTCTGTCATGTGTGTGTTCTACGCCTCCATAAGGCTACATCATTGAAAGATGACTAGATATCGGCATTACTCTCTCTGGATTCTATTCAAGTTCTATTTTAGGACCTAGAACAATCATGATAATGGCCACAAGCACTTGAGCAAGGATGTGGAATCATACAAATAGAAATTTCTAGGATTCCCTACTTTTTGTGAGCAAAGGACAAAAACACAAATCAGGTTGGTAATGGAGAGTCCATTCAACAACATTCCCATACTTAGCACATGGAGCAATGGTATGTCACCAAGCACTAGCAGATCTCAGAACAGCATATATCAAATGGTGAAGCATGAGGTGTGAGGACAGGACTTCTGATTTTACAATCACAGATAAAGTCCACCAGAACTACAATGGGAACAGCTAACACCTAATTTGACAAATAGGTAGGAGAAGTAAGCCTTTCGTGTACGCGTAGCACTAGAAAGCCAATTAGAGGCAATCTAGTAACCATCGTCATTGGTCAGTACTTATTGGATGTTGGACTGGGCATTCTAAGAACCAGCAGTTTCGTTAGGTGGAATAGTGGGTAAAGCATAGATATTACGTCGATGCCCCTCCCTTCCTGTACACTAGAGTGTACAAATACAAGGACTCTGCCACGCCTCCAGCACCCAGGAGCATAGGCTCTGTGACCCTCTTCTTCTTTGCTTTGCTCCTGGCAAAGATTATATACCTTGTCAGACTACATCATTTTAGCCTTCTCACAGAATTGCCTTTATTGAGTTAGTGTTTCGGTGATATTCTCCCTACTTTGAACAGAGGGCATTTTTAAAACCTGCCACATCAACCTTGTACCTCTATAAGCTATGGCGTTAAGGACATGGTTAATTACATAATGTGCTATCTAATAATAAAAAAATCTCTCCCATGGAGAATGGGCATGGTTCCTATTTTCTTTTTGTCTTATTTGCTTTCTTTTTTAATTCCTACTTTACCAATCTGTTTCCATATGACTTCTTTGCAAAATTCTCCAAATCTTTAACAAGTATATTAATAAATTCAATATACAAATTTAATTTATAATAATGGGAAATCAAATGAACTAAGTTGATTCCAAAGAACTAAATTCATGAATTTTGTAATCATTGTAGTACCACTATTAATATACCTTTTGGTTCTTAAACAATTCTTCAATACAAAGGATTGTTATCTAAAAACCAAACAGATTAGATAAATTACTGAGTTCAAAATTCCAGTTTGTTTCCATAATAGTCTCGTCTCCATAACCAAAGCCCTTTACAATCCAGATAGTTTATATGTTCAGCTAAATAAATAAATAAGTGTGTGTGTGTGTGTGTGTGTGTGTATCTTTCCTGAGAACATATATTCAACATTATGAATAAAAGTTCCTGAATGTTCTAGATCTGGGCTGAGTGAAAAATTTCCCAGTTTCCATGGAAACTAATATAGAAGATTGAGATGAAAAGAAAGTAAAACCTACAAAAAGAAAATTTCTTTTAAACTAGAAACATTTTTAACACAAATACCAAACACAAACAACAAATCATAAACAATACATTTTTGGGCAGATAGCAGCGAACACACACGGCTTTATCAGAGGAACTGACAATTTGGCCTCATTCATGCTAGCGATTATTACAGATATATTTGGTTTCACAAGTGGAAATTATCAAGTTAAAGCTTGGCTAGAGCCTCGCTGAAATTCTTCTGGTCAAACCTCAATAAAAAAAGCAATTCTCCTGGTTAAACCACTGAAGCAAGGAATAGCTCATAGTAGTAATAGGGAAGGTAATTGTTCTTTTGACTTTCAGTTGGAAAACACTGAGGAAGCAAGAAAGAATATAAATAGGAAAATATCATTTAAAAGCTAGGCTTCATAGTAAAAGCAATATTGGATATTCACTAACACATAAACAGTGATATTTCTCTTGGAGCTGAAGTTGTGTATTCTTTTACTTTTTTCTTTTCTGTATTTTCTAAAACTCTGCATTAGCATAAGTAACTTTTCTAATTTGAATATATGACTGTTATTTAAAGATAATTGAGGCTCATATCACTGTTAGTCATGCTTTAATAGGTATTTTACTTTAGCCAGGCTTATTATCTGCTCTCAGATTGATGGGCTAAATCAATAAATGTAGTAACAGTTGCGTTCAATTATACATTCATCAAAGTTCTCAATTTCCACTGTGAATGCTCCTCTTTTCCAAGGTCAGCTCATGGCCACATAGTGTTCCTTGGACATGAAGTATTAAAGATACATGATATACTACCTAAATATTACTTTCTTGCCACTGAGGCAAGACTTGACTCACTTTGTAAATAATCCTATAGAATAGCACAGTTCAATAGAACTGTCTGTGAAGATGAAGATATTTTATATGTGTGCTGTCCAATATGGTAGCCACCAGTCACAAGTAGCTACAGAGTACTTGAAACGTGGCAGGTGCAACCGAGGAACTGAATTTTGAATAGGCATATGTGGCTACCATATTGGACAACCCAGCAATAGCTGTCATATAGTCTGGGCCTGGATCAGCATCCCTGACTCACCATTCTTTGGTCAAGTGTATTGGTTCCCACAAGCTAAGGTCCTGCCAAATTCCTGATGTTACTGAGATGGTGCTTATCCTCACAAATGACTACTCATTTTGTAAGGTGATGTTTATATTATAGCCAAGCTTTCTTACAGATAGCATATTATTTTAAAAAATTGAGTCCCTGTCCTTTGTCTAAGACAAAGGAAACACATATCTTTTTATACCCGATCACTCTTTAAAAGTATTTTTGGACATCAATATATAAGGTCTATATGGCTGATTTAAAAATTGGTCCTGGATATTTAAGAGTAATTTGGAAATACCTAAGAAAGTCTTCTTAAATTGATTAAATAAATGCTACTGCTTTTTTCCAAATTTCAAATTGGGATTTTACTCACTGTTTCTACAACCCCTTGGAAATTTTAAACTAAAATCTGTTTCCTTACCGAAACTTTTTTTCCTCCTTCACGCGCACACTCTGCTTTGTTATTGTAGGGTGGTTCATGTGGGCTGGGCTGCTGGAATTGATTGTTTTCATGTAGAAAAAAGTTGTTAAAGGATCTGTTTGTTCTTCAAGACACATATAAAGAATCACATGGAGTCAACAAGCATACCATAGAAGAAACAATTTCTAGGCCAAATCGTAGGGCCTACCAATCTTGGCAGGGTTTCTTAAGCAAAGAGTGGACTTTGGGGCCCATAATGAGGCTCTATTCAGCAGGCCAGTGTGGCTAGGCCAGGAGAAGAAGGGAGAAGAAGGAAGATGCCTCCCAGGCACTAGGTTTTCTGTGGATCTAGTCCTCATTCAGCCAGCACTTAATTTATAGGTAGAGAACGGACACGAGGACACACCAAAGAGACCCAATAAAAATGCTTATATTTCCAACAGAAAGAAGTCTGACAAGTCTAGCTCTACCGTATCTTCCTCTTTATCAAAGCCTTGCTGAGGGTTGGCAATACGTACAGCGTCTACAGCTGATAGAGCCAAATCTGGGCCCTTTCCTGCACACGTGTTCAGGATGAGCAGAGATCTCCTCCCAGCCATGGCTGTGAAACCCTGTGCCCCCAGTCTGTGTGGATGGAAATCTGAACTGCTTAGGAAAAAGTCTGAGTGCATCCTGCACAAAGTAGAGTTTTGTCTCCGAGTTAGAACGCATTGTCACACGCAGCTGCCTGAAGTCTCACACATCATGACAGGCAGCTCTGCTGGGGATCACATTCACCAGTGGGGAGCAAGGCGAGCCCACCTTCATACATGCAGCCCTGCCACGAAGCCTCTGTAGACTACCCCTCAAAAGCATTGTCACCAGCGATGGGCTTCGTTAAGTTTTGAGAAACAAATTAAATAAGCATCAGTACATTGAACTTATTGCAAAGCCATTTGTAAGCCTTAAGCGTGTGCAACATCACCTGTAGTTTGCAGAACCACATCAGTGAAACCATACCTTTCAACTTCAGATACTTTTCAAAAGACAGTAATTTGGAAGCTCAGTCAGCCAGGTAAAAGGTAAGAGAAAGTGTGTCTGGGTTCACAGACACAAGGCATTGAAGACATCAGTCTGAGCTTGAAAGAAAGTCAGATTGAGATCTCCAAGGACTGAATGCAAATAGAAACTTGGCCTCCTATAGCACTGATGTGATAAGGAGTTCTCAAAATTTGGTGACTCCAGTAAACGGGGAATATTTGGGGAGTATTTCCAAATGGTAAAACTAGCAGCTGCCTCATAATTTCCAGTTACCTAGGAAGCTGTACACCTTGCTTCTGAGAACATGGCATTTATTTCGAATGGAGCCTTTTTTTTTTTTTCCCCAAACAGGTCTGCTTTATTTCCTGAGAAATCAAAATTAAGCAATTCTTTTTTCCTCAAATCATGACCGGTGATATTTACGGCATTTCCAATTAGGGGACAAGGAGGGGACAACGGTCGATAAATAACTTTATATGACTTGGAATGGTGGCGGAGAAAGAGAACTCAGGGAACTCGGGTATGGAGCCCTGACGTAGTGTCCATGCGCCTGCAGAATCACGGCTGGGCTCTTTAATGCAGCGCATACTCATAATTGCCAACTGCATGCCAGGGCCGTACCTACATGCCAGGGCTGCGTGTTCTACCAGAGAATTAAACTGGTGGTCCCTAGAAGAGCAAAGAACACTGAGGTAGCAATGGGGCCTCGGAGACAATGAAGGGCTAGCGGATGAGGAGGTGGGTAGGACAGGAGGGAACGGGCTTCAGAGAAAAAAGGACAAGCCTGAGGGTGGCGGAGCGAGAGAAGCAGGAGAGAGCAGTCCAGCCTGGGACTAGCAGGGACAGAAGACAAGAGAATAGCTAACGGAGGCTTGCCGAGGTCAGAATGAAGGGGATGAGAGAACCCGGGAGGGGACCAAGACAGAAGCAGAGAGAAGACACAGAAGCAGAGAGTACCTGAGACAGAGTTAACGAGAGGGCTCTGAGCCAGAAGCAAGAGGTGAGGAGAAGCTGAGTCTTCTGGGTCTTTTTTTTCCCCTGCTGAATAGAGCCTTGATTACAGTGTTACCCAATGTCTGATCAATTTCAGTCTATGTTCTTAACATTTCATGGCGAGAACTACATGAATGCAAAAGGGACCCCAAAGCTCCAAACCTTGAGTCAAGTGTGGAAGAAAATCTTCTGCTATAGCTGCAACTAACACCTCAATTTGGGTATAATAATATAAAGGGCGATTTTTCAAAAAATACATATTTTTAACCACCAGATTTATTTTAGTTCCCACTCCAGCCCAATGAGCCTAATGTGAGTCCATTTTTTTTTTCAGTAACAGCTGTTCTTTTGAACCTTCTGAATAGGCATCTGATTTAGATTCGAAGGAAGTCATTTTAGAAGTTGGTACAGACTCCCATAAGCTCAACTCCGATCAATCCAAGTCCATGTGCAACAGACTTCTTAAAAAAGCAAGAAATCTAGTGGCTAGCAAGGAGTCAGAGTTACTGTTAAGCCTAAACCCTGTGGAGACACTTTCCTCCTTCAGGCTGTAAATTCAGGCACAAGTGGTTTCGAGACCATTCCCTACTTAGGAATTTAATATAGAAAATGTATCTACAACTCAACTAAAGGGGAAAGCTTCTTTCAGTTTTATTGGATCTCAGCTCCATTATGACTTTGTGGCCTCTGTTGGAGAAAAACATTCTCACATAATAAGTTTTTATATCATTAAATTGGAAATGAAATAACCGTTAATGGTAGCAGCCCCTGCAGGAACTGTCTGGCTTCTGACCCACCATATCGATGAGGTTTGCTCGCCTACTCTGGGGCAGGGTTTTAGGTGAATGCAATAAATAAGTTTAACTTGACCAAGACTGCATTTATATGTCCCATTCAATTATTACAGAAAATTACAACAGCATGAGGTCTAAAAAGTCATTTAGGCTATTTTTTCCCTACAGAAAAAAAAGGGGGGGGCTTTAAGAAATTTCAACATAGTATATATTGAAGTGCAAACCTACTGAAAATGGTCATTTAAATACTTACAATTCCATCTCTATCTGGTGAACCTCTGTAAAAAAAGAAATTGGTAGCTATTAGGAAAAGGAATCATTCTTGCTACATAGACTAACGGACAGCAATAAGATTCACAAACCACTTCTCTCCCCCTTTCCTGCATTCCCATCCCAGTGAACCCGGCTAATGAAAACTAAATTAAAACAAATTTGTTGAATGTTATTTGAGTGTGAGATGTGTGTCTGTGTGTGGGGCTGGGGGTGGGGGAGTGCAGATTCTCATTAAAAGCTGGTGTCCAAACGGCACAGGTTGCTAGTGCAGTGTCGTGGTCCGCTATTGAGAGGAGAGTTTATTGAGTCTGTCCCACCCAGCTGTCTCCATTTAAACTACCACAAGGAACATAAACTGACTTGCCCTCTCTCATCTTCTCCCCTGGGAGTGGTCTTGAATTTCCCCCCATAGAAAGGAACTCCTATGGTATCTTTCTATTCACTTTGAGAATCTGTATTTTTTTCCCCCTATTTCTATACTTACTGTTCCTTTGATTATAGGAGAGCAGGAAATGGAGGACAATGTTTGCTAAAAGGCTCACACTGATGACCAAAGTCCAGGATAGGTAATCCATGGTGACACTGTGTGGTAAGGGTGACTAGGAGTAAGGCTTCTAGAGTAGGATGAATCTGGGCATCCAGACTCCACCACTTATTAGTTCTGTGACCTTGAATACGTTACCTAATCTCTCTAAGCCCTGTTTAAATAAGATAATGTATATAAAGAACTTACAATTAGTTCCTGACACACACAAATGTTCGTTTTTTTCCTCTTTCATGATGTCTCCTCACTGAGAACACAAAACTGACCACTCGCAGTCATGTTAGACTTCCTAGCAAGTAATACTACTGTTACTCTGGGAAACTGAACTGGAGGGGCCAGAGGAAGGGAGAAGCGAGAAGGTAGTCACCGTCACTTTATAACTTCCTATTTAAGTTCACTCTGTAAGGAGGTAGAAAAATGTCATTCTATTAACATGGAGATCAGAATTATGCTTAGATGAGGACTTGCATTGTTTGGAAGAAAAACTTAATAAGCGCTTGAGGTAAACTCTGAAGTTTTGTGGAGTTTGATGTGGCTGAAACTGTTCTTTAGGATGTGGGACCAGGTAATAACATTCCTTATTGATTCATAGGGTGGGGCAGAGGAAAGAGGAGAGGGAGCGAGGAAAGAGAGAGAGATGCAGAGAGTGGGTGGCACATCTTCTGGGCTCCGCGATGTGATTCCCCTTTCCCACTAACACCCCCTTCAAATTTAGCAGGATATTCCATTTGGATTACAAAACTTGTGGGGGCGTACATCATTTTTCATAACCAGTTCTGTGTCCATGTGGATGCAGAGGCGAATCAGTGACACATGGGCTAGAAGCAGAGAGGACCCAGATATTAAAAGACCCTTGGAAGTTGACCTGGCTATGCGAATTAGTTGGTTCAAAGAAATTTCACCTAAATAGAAAGGTAGGAAGATAAAAATTGATAAAAGTTATAATTCACTGAACAAATATTGAGTGCTTATAATGGGCCAGGCACTAGACTAGAATCAGGGGATAGAAATAATGAAGACATGCTCTTCATAAAAAGATTGAGACAGGTGAGTACATCCAATGGGTTACCATGGCCACAATAAGCCCAGGTTGCATTGAAAGCACAGAGAAAATGTACTGACACACACTCATCAAAACCAGCTTTCCCTTTTCAGATCTATACACTACAAAAAAAAAAAAAAAAAATGAGCACTTCTTACTCGGATAGTAAACCTGTGCTAAATGAATTGAGAGAGAGGTGATTGCATCAACTTTGGGGTAGGATATATCCAAAGGCACTGATCCTTGTGGGGATGTCTTTGCAGGCATCAAGTCATAGATGTAGAGAAGACCAGGCTCTGGAGAAAGGCCTGGCTGTGGCATTGCCCACTATTGGTCCAGGTACAAGGGTATATCCATAGGGGATTTAAATGAGAGGCCACTTGACCTCATGCATATTGCAACTATAAGGATGGCATTTCAAAAATTTGAATCAGAAACACTGTAATTGTACATGGCAGCATTGGGTCCTGTTCTGCCTTTGTCTTAACCATTGATGGGATGGGGCTGGTGCTTGCTAGCATGGTGGCAGTGAAGATCACTGGCTGTGGTGCCAGACTGCCTGGATTCAATCAACCTAGATGCCTAACTGCCTCACCTTGGGCAAGTCGTTTTACCCCTTCGTGTCTCAGTTTCCTCATCTACTAAATAGCCATGAAATTGGCCTGTACTCCATGGGCCTATTAAAGGATTCAATGAGTTAATAGGAGTGAAGAGCCTGGAATAGTGCCTAGAATATAGTAAATACTCATGAAATGTTATCTAGAATAAAATTATTATGCAATCTGACCTAGGATGGGGAGTAGAACGATGTTAGCAGTCTCAGACTCTTGAACGTGTTTCGGTTCATTTCCTCACCCCCTCTTATGAAGTTTTAGATATATTTTTAAATATTTTTTTTTCTTTTTAACAGCAGACCCCTCATATTTCCCGACTTCTCTTTTAAAACTAATCATCTACCATGGGCCCTTTGTCTCTATTTTAGGAAGTGTCAGTTACCCCTTGCAACCAGTGCCGCTTCTCTTTACTCTGGTAGTGGTCTTGATTATAATTTTGCCCATCTAGTCTTTTTCTTCTGGGTGATAAAGAATGGGCACTTGATTCTGGACTAGAATACTGGCTCCAAGTCTTATTTTCCATATAGTCTTCAGAGAGTTACCTAATCCCTTTGGCACTGATTTCTCATCTCTAAAATTGAGATATTACTTCTGACCTCACTGAATCACTGTGAGGATTAAAAAGGGTATCAGTGCACAGTGTCTGCCACTTATCACCAGCTCTCTCCTTTCCTCTATTGGGCACTATAACGATGATCAAATCAGGAAGCTCTGGTCCTAAGCCCACTGTCTATCTAAGGAGGTTCAATCAGCTATAGTTGGCTGCTAACAGTAGCAGGTTGCTTGGCAACCCTCATGGAGTTGCGACAGTCCTGAGAACAGTTTGCATCAACAAGCTTTCGATGATTGCAGATGAACAGAAGCATTGCCTAAAGGTGAAGGGACAGCAAATTGCCGGAACATCTTCCCAGCTTTTTGCAAGAATGATGTATGACCCAATTAGGGAGCAGGGGTTCATGAAAAGCAAAAGTTTACACTAAACAGCCTGTCCTTTGACCATCACGGCTGGTAGAACTAGTTGATGGCTAATTTGCTATGATGTAAGTAAGCTGGGGCGCTCAAATGATAAGAAGTTAAGAAGAGATGGTTAGGATTCTACAAGCACATGTCTTGATGGAGTGCTTCAGAGAGATATGGGGTGTCTACCCAAAGCCATGAGGAATAACTTCCTTATTTTCACACCCTTAGAAATGATGATGAAGAGCAACGCTTTGGTCAGTTGCAAATTAGCCCAGCCTGCCCTGGGGAGGTTGTTTGACTCCTTTCCCCTTTTGAGGGAGTTTTTTTTTTTTTTCCTTTTGAACTTTCTTCACACAGCAGAGACTATGTGTGGTCTGTTACAGACACTGCCTTCAAAGTAAAATGGTTTGGTGTTTGCTAATGACGTTCTCCTGAGATGTGTTCGGTAGTGTCCCACACAAGACGTGGCACAGGATAGGTGACGACAGATGTCGCTGACAGATGAACTGATACAGCGTCTGGCCCTTTAGGGGAATCAGATTCCATCTAGTGTAAACTGAGGCCCAGGAAAGGAAAATCGTGCCCGAAGGCCAAGGAGCTATGGGCAGTGCTGGAACTGGAGCCCCAGTCTTCGGCTCCTGGTGAAAGTACCATCACCAGTTCTGGTTGGTTAATTTTTAGACAATGTCAATTTCTTAAGAACTACTGGAGATTATATAATTCTCAGAAATACATTCCCAATTCAATCATTTGAAAAATTTGCAAAACCAGGGTAAATGTAATTTCCATGAAATAATTATTTGTCAAAAGAAAAGCGTAAAGAAAAGGTAAGAACAGGAGATTCTAACATGTGAGATCTAGGCCAAAAAAACAGCTTCCTCCCCTTACAAAATTCTTTGCACTGTCTGGTTTAAAAGCCTTCAAGGCTTCAAGGTTGCGCCTTGCCTAAGGAAGGAGGCCCAGACACTTCAGCCCGGCCCTTAAAGACCTTTCCATCTGGCCCTGATGTCCTTCCTAGCTTTGCCTCCCTCCCCACCTTTCCCTGTAGCCATCAGGCGGACAAGCTGTTCTAGCTCTCTTGTCCTCAATACCGACTCGCCTTTTCCACCTCTCTGCTTTGGCTGTTATTCCCTTTGCATGAGATGCATGTCTTCATCTTCTCCCAAGTCCAAAGTCAAGGCTCCTCCCTCTCCGAGATTTCACTGATCATCTGTCCAAACATGAGTTTACCCACCCTCAAATTTCCATGAAATTTCATTTTTAATTGCTCATAAGGACTTACCACATATTAATTTGTATTAGTAAGACTCAGACCAGCGTCCACTGCCATTTGCTAAGCATTTCTAAGTTCTAGGTACCATATGAGGCATTTCAACTATGTTATCGCATTTTGTTATGTGAAAGGTATTTCTTTGGTATGGTAGATGTTTTATCCCATGATTTATGAGTTCTTGGACGACGAAGACACAAAGCAGGTTTCGGATTTTGTGCTCAAATTTATGCATGATAAAAATGCACAGAATGAAAAGCTAAAGGTGAGAAATAAAGGTAGCCCTCTTCGGTTTCACCTGTTCAACTGTTGACTTCCCCATTTTCTAACTTTCTTTCAGGGATTCTAGCCAAATAAGGGTTTTAATGGTCTTCTGATGTGCAGCTGACCACACCAGATCTGCATTTCCACACAGCCACGTGTGGTCCCTCAGCTGCTCCTGACAGTTGTGCTCTCCCAAAGTACATACGTTGAATCAGTGTCCTTCTCTTTCTTCCGTATTCCAAAGGCCTTCCTTGTACGTTTTTTCAATCCTGTGGGAAAACAACAAAGGGTCAAGGAAATCTATTTTCTATTTGAACGTTCCTAGCAACATTCAAGGGAAAGATATTTTTTAAAGTTGCAACACACCAGTTAAATTTGAACGTTCAAAAAGCAATGAAAATCTCTTCATTTGTATGTATGTGTCTGTGTGTGTGTGCACGTGCATATGACTCATTATTATTTTCGACAGATGTTTGTCAAAGACTCGGTACTCTAAGTTCTTAGCGCTCTGAGCAACCTAAGAATATAAAGAATGGAAAGGAGATCAGGGCCAGATACAGAAAAGATTGCAAGCTTTTCTTAGATTATTGTTATTCATCACCAAATTGGTCTTTTGCCAAGAAACCAAATCATAGATTTAGGTGAATAGCAATTTTTGGGTGAGATGTATTCCTGAGACTAGGACAATTCCAAGACACAGGTCATGTAAACCATAACAAGAGACCTACACTGATCAGGCACACCTTTGTGTCCCATATTCCCAACTCATCTTTTTTTACTTCCTCAATCCTGTGACGAGATTGATTACTAACCACTCTCTGAGCATATCCCAACATCTGCACTCCGGTTATCTCTTTCCTCCATATGTGGTTCTGACCTCTGGTTAAAGTGCTTTTCCTATTTAGATATTTAGAACTTTAAATCATCCTTCAAGGCCCAGCCAAATGCCACCTCCTCTGTGAAAGCCTCGAAATCCTAGTGGTGTAAGAAACTGACAATTCTGTGACCCTCTCCCAAAATCTTGCTCTGAGATGTATTATATCAAAATGTTCCACTTCATTCTTATGTCAATTTCCCTCATAGGCTGTGAGCTTTTCTAGGACAGAAGCCAGGATCCCTTCTATATGTTCCCTACACCTAGTACAGGTGCCAGATAATATTTGTGGATTTAAAATACCTTCCAGGAAGCATCATTCAGGCAGTACTGGGGTAACAAGTTTCCTTTCTTACATCTTGGACAAACCAAACCCAGTTGTTTCTTCCATTTCTATCCTATCAAGGCTCTATCTGGGATTCCTATCTCCTGCATGTTCCATAATTACATATGTGACTTGTGTTTCTTAGTATTATTCAGATATACTAAATATCTATATATTTCAAAACCTTAGACTTGTTGGGGCGTGTGGGTGGCTCAGTTGGTTAAGTGTCTGACTCCTAATTTCAGCGCAGGTTATAATCTCAGGTTGTGAGACAAACCCTCCACTGAGTCCCACACTGAGTCCTGCATTGGGCTCCACGCTCAGCAGAGAGTCTGCTTGATACTCTCTCTTTCCCTCTGTCCCTCTCCCTGCTTGTGCACCAGCGCTCTCCCTCTCTCTCTCTTAAATAAATAAATAAATAAATAAATTAATTAATTAATATTTTTTTTAAAAAAACTTAGACTTGTTACTGGTGGTTTGGAAAGTCTTTTTGGCAAATTGGAGCTGAAAAAGTCCCTGAATTTCAGGATCTGTTTGGCACTAACAGGTGGAACAAAGGGAAAAACATTGACAGAATCAGAGACTTGATGACATCTTCTTCCAAAACATGTGAGTCAGCCCAAACCGCTCAGATTATCTGAGTCATTCGTTATCTGGCTCTTAGAATTCTACTCATATATAATCCCCAAAATGTCTCTGTTCAGTCTAATTTTGCATTTTAATAGTCATTCCGTATAAGATGCCTAGGTCTTTAAAATATCAATGTTTAAAAAAAATCTCTTCCCACATTAAGCTAAGCTCTACTTCATTATTCTTCACACGACTTTACAGGAAAACTTATTGACATTTAAAACTACCCACCCATAATATCTAGGAATACCTTCCCCTCACTCATTTTCAATTTGAATTGTTAAAAACTTTCTTCCTTCTTACCTCTAATTGCCTTATCCCCTTATAGGAACAAAATATCATAGTGACAATCATCATTTTCTTCTCATAATTTTCCTTGGGTTCGGGTCTCTTAATTGACTTCTCCATGCTTCTAATTCAGGTTTGGGGTTACAAAGAATGCTATATTTCACCAATCACTACTGATTTATATAGGACTATAAAACAAGTGCTATTATTATCTTATGTTTTCAAGTCATTTCATTTTCTGTAATTTGACCATGAGATAAGAGACAGCATGCTCTACCAAACAGATCAGAAAATACACAAAAATTCCAGTAATTCTTGTATTAAATTAGAAACAGACAGGCAATAATAGTTTTCCATAAACTCTGTCCTGTTTTTGACCTCCAAATTTGGACAACGGCCAATATGAACTAGATCATGAACATCAATGAATTGTCCATTTTCCAGTGAAAAGTGCACTGGATCAGGATTCAGGAGACAAAGTCAATTTCCAGCATCATTTTTTAAAAAGATTTTATTTATTTATTTTAGAGACAGGGTGAGGGGAAGGGCAGAGGGAATGGGACAAACAGACTCCGCATTGAATGTGAAGCCCAATGTGGGGCTCGATCTCACAACCCTGAGATCACGACCTGAGCTGAAACCAAGAGTCAGAAGCTTAACCGACTGGCGCCCCCAGAAAGATTTTTAAGTGTGTAGTTTAATATGTTATATCTCTTTGTATTTCATTCTCTCAGTCTATAACAAATCAGTCAATAATAAAGGATGAAAGAGTTTGTACACATTCACAAAATGCTATGCCAATCTGTAATTTTAATTTCACAGAAAGTTGTATTTCCTGTACCTAGACTACATTCCTATATATGGAATATATAGAGGAATACACCAAAGATGTGACATTCCAGAAAAACAGAACTAATCAAATGTCAAATAAAAGAAAACACTGGAAATATTTTTCACCCTTGAGGAGTGGAAAGATTTGAAAAATTTAGGAAATTATGAAGATAACTCTGAAAGACTAAAGCAAACAAAGTAATGAGATGTAGAAGTTATTCATATCTTAACAACTCCTTGAGAAGATCTAGAAAGAAACAATCATACCAACTGTGTTAAAAGTGAATGTACAGGTGTGGTCATGACTTTTGAGAGTTCATTAAAAAATATTCAAAGAAATTTTTCAAAAGAGAATAATAATAGTTAAAGATCTTATAGGAATAACAAGTTCAAGACATTATGTCTGATAATCTAATAAGCTTCAAAAGCACTATAGCTAATGATTTTCCACTTCTGATTCCAGAACTTCATAAAAATTTTAAAGTCAATTTCTACAGCATAACTGCTTTTAGGCTGGGTCCTGAATATTTGTCAACTATTCTTTACCAAAAATGGGAGGGAAAAAAATCACTTGTTTTTGAGAAAAGAAGTAACTATTCCCTTGTCAATATCAAAACAAAGAGATATTAAGAGAAAGAATTTTGTTGTCTTGATGATCTTGGGCTACAACTGTTCTCTTCCAAGTTGCAGAAGTGAGAACATCCTCCTCTGTGCATCCAGAACTGCAGTCTTGAGTCAGCCACAGACGAAGTCTGGCCTGGGCCTCTAGCTCCTCTCCACCTAATTTAGATTTCTTTTAGTTCCCTTTGGTGTTATGAGAGGAGCTAGTCAAGTCTGGGAACAACAACAAAATTAAAAATAGTCTGATTTTTTAAGAGGGTGGGAAAGCTCATTTCAAAATAGGCAGTCCTAGATATGATATTACCAGATAATAAAACAAAGCAATGGGCACAGAAATTGACAACAGTGATAGTGCAAACACAAAATACAGAATAAGAAGTTTCATCACTGCAATATTATTAGCTATCATTACTGAGGTCCTACCTATGGGCCAAACACCAGTTGCTTTGCATCTGTTGTCTCATTTATGTGAAAAAGTAGGAGGTCTTTTCTTCTCAAATGATGATGAGCCTGAGGGTTGCCTAGGTTAGGTTTTATTATTACCATCTCCAGGGAAGAAATTGGAGGCTCCTTTCCCTCTATTGCTCCCCAAATGTTGAAATTCTTCAGGACTTTGTCCTAGGTTCCTCTACACCTTCTTCCTGGGGCAATTTCATGCACTCACACGATTTCACTTGCCATCTGTACATAAATGAACCCTGAATCTATAGGTCAGGCCCAATACTATCTCATGAGTTTCTGAATATATAAGTACTTCGTCTCATACTCAGGCTTCTATAAATAGATGTCAGATTTCTTCAAAAGCCTTTAGGCTCCACTTATATATATGCAATTGAACCTATAAAGGAATGCTCGATCATTTAGTTTACAATCATTTTCTGAATAAAATTCCCCTTAAAATGAGATAGTTCTCATGGTGACGGGATGGTAACAACACTTACTGTGGTAAACACTGCATAATATATGGAATTGTCAAATCACTGTGTTGCACACCTGAAACTAACATAACATTGTATGTCAACTGTACTTCAATAATAAAAAAATTAATGAAGTCATTCTCCAGCAACAAATGGATAAATAAAGTGTGGTTTACTCACATGTAAAATATATTTCTTATGACAGGTCCAGAAAGTTTGAAAGTCTTTTGTTTAAACTTAAAAAAAATCCTTTTAATGTAAAAAACAAATTGTGTTTACTAGTGTTTTTCTCTGAAACTTCCCTGAGATAACTTAAAAAAAAAAATCAAGATACCTTAGAACTTCCTGGCTTTAAGGGTATACAACTCTGTAGATAAAGAAGAAATGGTACGGCAGAAAAAAATTACCTTTATCCATTTTTTTTTTCTCCCAAGTACAACTGTTCTATAGGAATTCATTAAACAAATACTAAATTCTGAATTTAAGCCTTTAAATGCTACGAAAACAAAATTGTTCAGAGGGAACTTCCAAAAAGAACAATTTGGACTCTATATTAATTTAAGGTCAAACATCAAAATCTGATACTCAAAAGAACCTCCAAGGTTTTGGCTTGGTTGGTCTTATGTCTTCTGTTTTATTTTTTTTTTAAATCCCACTTGAAATATTTCTCTCCCTAAAAATGAAGACTGGTACTATATAGATGGACGAGTTGAGGCAACAGTCCTGGAACTGAGTCCAGAAAAGGAGACATCAAGGTATGAAAATCCTCTAGGCAGGAGCTGA